TCAGGTCTAATTCACATTCAATTCAAGTGATTTCAAACTTTTCAAGTCTGATTCACATCAAATTCAAATGATTTCAAACTTTTCAGCTCTGATTCACATCAAATTCAAGTGATTCCAAACTTTTCAGCTCTGATTCACATCCAATTCAAGTGATTTCAAACTTTTCAGCTCTGTTTCACATCAAATTCAAGTGATTTCAAACTTTTCAGGTCTGAATCACATCCAATTCAAGTGATTTCAAACTTTTCAAGTCTGATTCACATCAAATTCAAATTATTTCAAACTTTTCAGGTCTGATTCTTATCAAATTCAAGTGATTCCAAACTTATCAGGTCTGATTCACATCCAATTCAAGTGATTTCAAACTTTTCAGCTTTGATTCACATCCAATTCAAGTGACTTCAAACTTTTCAGGTCGGATTCACATCCAATTCAAGTGACTTCAAACTTTTCAGTTCTGATTCACATCCAATTTAAGTGATTTCAAACTTTTCAGCTTTGATTCACATCCAATTCAAGTGACTTCAAACTTTTCAGGTCTGATTCACATCAAATTCAAGTGATTTCAAACTTTTCAGCTTTGATTCACATCCAATTCAAATGACTTCAAACTTTTCAGGTCTGATTCACATAAAACTCAAGTGATTCCAAACTTTTCAGGTCTGATTCACATCAAATTCATGTGATTTCAAACTTTTCAGGTCTGATTCACATCAAATTCAAGTGATTTCAAACTTTTCAGTCCTGATTCACTTCAAATTCAAATCATACCAAACTTTTGTGTATAGAATCGCAACGACTTCACGAGATTCTAAACTTTTCAGGTCTGATTCTCCGCGGAGCGATATTATTCTTATGGCGGGTAATATATATTTAATGTTTTACTATTTTTCATAGTGATTTCAAACTTATCTACTAAGGATCAATAAATTTGAAATGATTTCTAGCTCGAAATGATTCAGTACTATCCATAGTGATATCATAGAGGTAACTCTAAGACTAGTAGGTCCCGAAGAAACGTGCTCAACTTTTTGGCTCAGCTCTGGTACTATCTTCGGTCCCAAGCTAATCGATTCACCCCTCGAAACATAGGAGAATCGAATAACCCCTCATTTTATATGTCAAACTTTCATAGCAAACCAAAACAAACATAGTGTAGTACTAGAATTTTGACTAGAATGGGGTACGTAATCGATTTGCTTGGGACCAATAGGCTAGTCAAGTAGTGAGCCAATTTAAAATCGTTAGTTTCGTATTGATTGTTGGTGATATCTAACTTCTCTACCGTGAGCCATCACTTTCTGCAAAACTTTCCTAGTCTAATTAAAAGCTTTCTGAATGTTTACCACAATAATTTAACAGTGATACAGTGAATTTGTTCAAATTTTAGTGAAAATATAAACTTTTCTTGGGTGGTGCTAAACTTTTTCAGGTGATGCAATATTAAAATGAGTGTTGCAATACTTTTCCACGCGAGTCGTCACTTATGACGGGTAGTGTATGAATGTTTCGTCGTCTATTATGATACAAGCAGAGCTGCCAGGTGGTTTTATAAAAAATCTGTATCCACTCTATTAAAAAATCTGTATTTTCTGTATTGACGATTTTTTTCTTAATTAATCATGTTTTGTTGTTTTACAAATACAGTGCATACAAAATAACCATAAAAAGTGCTTAACCACCTATTCGGGCTATCGTACTAACCATACGGGATATAATTGCGCCATTTGTGATATCGCCCGTACTTATTTATAAGAGTGATATGAAGCCGTTTGAAAATGTATGGAGATTTTAGTTTCTATTCATTATCTTCCTGATAAGCAGTTTTAAATGCAAAAAAGTGCGCGAGTTCATTACTATTTGATATTTTTAATATAGATGAATACAATTAATTACATCATTTGTGTGGTAGTTACACCGAAAAGTCGAGAGATGTCGCCCCGCCAGTGCTGGTAAAATCATTTTTGCAGTATAGAGAATATCAGAAAATCCGCAATTTCTTACGAAATACATTTTCAATGCAAGTAAAATGTTTACGAGTGCTTGTATTTGTACCATTTTAATGTGCTCGGGCACTTTTCTTGTATTTAACATACATGCTTATTTTGGAAATATTCAATTAATACTGTAAATCCCCATACAATCTCAAATCGTTTACTACCAGCTCCATATGCATCATTTTATAAAAATCTGTATAAATCTGTATTGTAATTAAAAAATCTGTGATAAATCTGTATTCTGTATCGGGTCTGTATTAAGATTAAAAAATCTGTATAATACAGATAAATCTGTATAAATGGCAGCGCTGGATACAAGAATTTTTTGCAAAAACTGGGTGCACGGCTTTTTGCAGTGAAATTTTGCTTATCATTACGATTGGGCACCTTTTTCACGTTTTACGCCTTCAGCCCATGTCGAGCCACATTACGAACTGAAAGGTTTGGATGTTTCTCAATAATGGCTTCTGCCTTCTGGTATATTTGCCTAAAGCATACTTTTCGATTTGTTTCGCTTCCAACCTTCCGATCCACAGTTAAGCGTTGGTCAAACGATTTGCACACACTAAACACGGTACCCTTCGGCAGTTTTAGCATAGAGGTAACTCTAAGACTAGAAGGTCCCGAAGAAACGAGCTCGACTTTTTGGCTCAGCTCTGGTACTATCTTCGGTCCCAAGCTAATCGATTCACCCCTCGAAACATAAGAAAATCCACTAACCCCTCATTTTATCTGTCAAACTTTCATAGCGAATCAAAACAAACATAGTGGAGTACTGGAATTTATACTAGAATGGGGTACGTTAGTCGATTTGCTTGGGACCAATAGGGTAGTCAAGTAGTGAGCCAATTTAAAATCGTTAGTTTCGTATTGATTGTTGGTTTTAGCTTTTTGGCGAGATCGCGCACCGACAACGTTGGATTTTACTGCCGTTCGTACAAAATGCGTTTGCGTACTTTCACTTGTTTCGATTTCATTTCACCAAACTGAACAAGAATATAAACATGTTGTGCGACGACATAGAGTGGAAAGCTTCTACTGTCATATAAGTGAAACCTTTCAGCGGTTCGTGAAATATTTCAAAAACTACACTGAAAGAAAAGTGTCCAAAATTTAACGTGAACAGGCTTAAGTTCTTGTTCCTCATTGTGTTCTAAGGCTGTGAACCATTTGCCGAGTTAAATTTAACTCGTGGTTAAAAGTGACATTTCGAAAGTTATTCTTGATGTTCGAAAATCCCTGTGCTGTCGATCGACCGGTTTTCGAGAAGAACTCAGCCACGGTTGTCAACATTTAACTTCTTGTCTGTCAGAAATAACCCCGCTCGGATAGCAGGGTTAATCGATAACTTTCCATCTGTCAAATTGTAACCAAAAGTTAAAATAATCCACCAAATGGTTCAGAGCCTAAACAGCCTCATTAGCTTAGAGAATCAACTAAGGCTGTGAACCATTTGCCGAGTTAAATTTAACTCGTGGTTAAAAGTGACATTTCGAAAGTTATTTTCTATGTTCGAAAATCCCTGTGCTGTCGCTCGACCGGTTTTCGAGCCACTGTTGTCAAAATTTAACTTCTTGTCTGTCAGAAATAACCATGCTCGGATAGCAGGGTTAATCGATAACTTTCCATCTGTCAAATTTTAACCAAAAGTTAAAATAATCCACCAAATGGTTCAGAGCCTAAATGAGAACTTAGGATTAAGGCCTTGTTAGGATGGCTTTTGTTTTTATTGCTTGGAGCACCACTTTTATGGTTGAATGGTTGAATAATAATTCAAAGATACGTAGATAAGCATTTCCTGCAGCACTGCAATGAGTGGCTTTATTGATTTTTCTAGGTCTTCATTGTAAACCTGGTTAGCTCGTAAAATTAGCTTTTCAGTGAAGTTGCTTCACACACCCGTAGAATCCCGGTTACTGCTTGAGCTGATTACCTGGCGTTTACCACGTTTAAAATATATGTATTTAGAAAAATACCTTCCTGATTTTGGCAACATGCGATTTTTGTCTTATTTGCTTTCTATAAAATGTATCGAACGCTTTATTCAATTTGAAATTGTACTGGATCATCCTTCATGGGTTAGATGTCCATGTGGTATTTCTCAAAAAAAAGGTTTAGAAAGCACTAGTATAGTACTGAGGAAAGTACTAGCTGATGGGATTGCCAGAAACGGGTAGACACTGCACCTGGATTTTTTTTTATTTGGAAATTACTGGAAAATCAGTATTATTTATATTATATTTGGAGCTGGAATAGATTTTGGTATGATTATGCCAAACGTCCATTATGCCACGTTCGGCGTTCCCCCGTTGGCTTGATGATACATTTTTACAAATTCATTGGTAATTAATTTCCCATACGTTGTTGATTGATCAGCGATTTTCCATGAAAATAAAATAATCGAACGATAATCGATCCATATTCATCGATTACCGGATAGTAGAGGCGAAAGGCAATCAATTAATTTATTTAAAAAGATCAAATTGAAAAAGTCAAATTGAACTTACTACACCTGATTTTCAATTGTTTTTCGATCTCAAAGCCCCAGCATCGATAGTTTAATAAATTTGTCATCAATAATTATTATCTGCTCAGCGCCAAAGAACGGATCATAATGGATCGTGAATTCGATTAGAGCCTCACATTCGAAACGGTCGGTGGCATGCACTTTCCAAGTGTATAATCAAAATATTATCACAATCAGTGGCACAATGAGCACGACTGAAGCTAATAAGTTGGTAACTCAACAAACCGAGTGGTGCAAGTCTGGTATCTTTCGGGCTAATCATCGCAATACACTCTTGAATTGCACCACTGCATCTATCGGCAATGGGAACTTCCCCTGTGTAATCACAAACACTTAATTCATTGATCCACTGTGCCGCAGAGAGCAACAGAAAACAGGACGTGATCAATTATTTACATAAACATTGTCTAGCCCCCATCAATCTCCTCCGACTGACTGTGTCTCCACGCTCGAATAATGGGTCAGTTGATACTCACCGAAAAAAGAACACTGGGACACAATTCTGCGGTTGGATAAGCTGCAGCGGTACACTGACTGTTATTCAATTTGGAGCTAATCTCGGCTTCACCTTTGCCCTTGACGCCCTGAAGTGGGACTTATCTTTGTTCTGTTGATACTAATTGCTCAGCCTTTCATTGGAGCTTAATTGGATGACTAACACAGCAGTAACAACGAAACCGACGTATTTTTTCGATATGGCGAGATAATTCTCCAGTAGCAGCTTCCAATCGAAAGGTTTGCTCCGGTGCTGATGGGTCGGATCGAAGCTCGATTGTTTTCGTTATCTCCGCCGTTCCTTCACAGAGGCCCCCGATTACTGCCGCAGAAATATGGGAACCAATTTGTGTGCTGCAGCTGATAAGTGAGTGCGCACGCAAATAAGTGAACCAACATCGGTGGTGGTAGTCGCCGTTGGCAGCGATAATGGTAGGCAATTAGCCATCATAAGTCGGAGGACCAGCCCGACCGAGATGATGAGCCATCATATCAGAAATTAATGTTAAATGACGGTGGTAGAGACAATAGTGGTGATGGTGGTGGTGGTGGTAGGAAAAAAGAAAAACAGTGATCAATTTGATTAGTCGCAAATCGAAGATGGGTCTTCCCGGGGTGGCACTACCCATTTCGAAAATGGGTGTTCTACGCAACGAACAATAGGAATTTTGCCGATGACTTACCTGATTGCAGAAATTCGCAGGAAAATCGAGTTAAAAATACACGGATTAGCTTATCAGAGCCAATAATGAGGATGAGCAAAAAACGGTACCGTACGACGAATATGAAACGAACAACGAGAATGAAGAGAAAAAAAATACCGTTTTGACAGATTGTCAAGTTGTGTTGATTTTTCGTTGACAGAACTGGCAGTTTGCTTTGCACTGGGAGAGGAATCGGATACTTACACCTACTTTGCTGTTATACCGCATCACGGAAACTTTTATAATACTCATCGATGATTCCGATTGGCGAATTTTCACTTAAATTTGACAGACAGAAATTTTTCAAATAAACCTACACAGCAAAAAAAGTTGTTGAATATTACATCGAAACTGATGCAACCAGGTCAATCCATCGGTTGTGTAATATCACATTGTACGATGTACATCGATTTTGCGAACAAAATTACATCCATTGATGTAATATTGTATCTGCTTTTTGCTATTACATCATTATTTCATACATCAGCTTGAATTACGTTGATCGATATTACATTTTTTTTTGCTGTGTACACAGAAAAAAAAAGTTGTTGAATATTACATCCAAACTGCTTTAACCAGGTCAATCCATCGGTTGTACGATGTACAGCGATTTTGCGATCAAAATTACATCCATTGATGTCGAGATTTGTTTTCCGTACTGAGCTCCAATGCTACCGACGCCAGGGTAGGATTACCATATCAAAAACTTGAAAAGGAAGACATTTCATTTGAGGATTGGAGACTATAAGGAACAAATCATTGCTTTTCTTAACATTAAATGAGGACAATGAGATTTTATCAAACGTTTTAATTATATGTGCACTATAACAAAATTCATGATTTGTTGAGATTTTTCATAACTTGTAGTCGTTACCAATTCAATTCATCTTCTCGTTATACTTTTGAAAAATGCAGAAAACTAGCTTTCATAATTCATTTTTGATAGGGGAAATGTCGGCTTCGGCAATACCTTAACCTATTATCGTCAGGGGGTAAAGAAAGTCCTAGAGGAATTGATTCCTGGTTTCCCTAATAAAAAATAACCATAAACGAACGATAACCCAAATCATTGAACTATTCCACAAATGGTTTGGATGATACCCAGAACACGTCGTTAAGCAAATTAACCATACAATTTTTATTAGGGTTGTCTGAAATAAGTCTGGTAGAATCTCAGGCGAGATTTCAGGTTTATTTGAAAATATTCCATCTGTCAAATATAAGTTAAAATTCACCAAATGAACAGCAATCTAAATATGGCCTGCTGGGGTGAGAGGTAATCACGCTAACCACCGGCGCCGATATCTATCACGGCGAATGAGAACGACCCAAATTTGAGTTTAGTTATCTCAGAAATAAGAAATAAAGTGCAGGAACTCAGCGATGAGTAAATTTGCCTCATGCTTTCGCAGGATTTTCCAGGGAAAAATTCCCGAATTTGAGAAAAGTAAAAATTGGATTCACTCAGTCTATTAAAAAAATATAATAAAATTTTCGTCAATTTCCTCATTTTCTGTCAGATTTTTTAGGTTTTCCACAGGAAACCATGAGACAAATTTACTCATCGCTGAGTTCCTACACTTTTAGCGATTATGAGTGAACTAAACTCAAATTTGGGTCGTTCTCATTCGCCGTGTACGCAAAAAGAAAATAGCCAGTGTCGCTACTTGATAGCAAACTACACATAATGGGAGGAGTCTTTGTAGCTTTTATACCACTTGGTTGCACATCATTCTGCTTTAACCTAAAAAGATATAAAGCAGCGCTGCTGTCTGGTATCAGCTCATTTTCGCTTCGGACGGCGTGGTCAGCAACAGCAGCAGTAGGAAGGTGGTTAGTCCACTTTTCTATAACCTAACAAGCAACAATTGACTGGTCGTAGAGGTGCCAACCGTCATCGCAAATTCTTCGAGATAACCACCATCCGTCGTCTGTCTCGCCGTGGCGGTGTCTGACGTATCTCCGGTCTGATCTACGAGGTGTTTTGAAGGTGTTCCTGGAAAATGAGGTCAGTAACCTCACTAAACACGCCAAAAGTAAGTGGCCATGGATGTCCTCTTCAATAAAACGGCCCTTTTCAGGGCCATCAAGCTTACCTCAGTAAAGAGTTGGAATAGAATTTATCTGTGCTTGTTTGTCCATATTCAGAACCACAAGCCCCCAACGCAACGACCACACAAACTTGGAAACAGGGGTGCAAGTGATTTTGATTGATTCTCGTAATCAACTTTCTCTTTGAAAAAGATTACTACAAATTTGGTACGCCTACAATTAAAAAACGAAAAGAGTTGATAAAATAGATATTTGATAAATTAAAAGAACTTAATGCTATTCACATATTCCGTCCACTAGTGGTCCTACGTCAAGCTTCCGTTCGTGCCCCTAGGCACAGACCCTTCTACTTTTTTATTAGGGAAGGAATCAGTTTTTGGCCGATCATCAACAGAGAGATTTTGGTTAGATTAGATTAGATCATCAACAGAGAGATTTTGGAACATTTCAATTTATTTTCAAAGTGTCAAATTTAAGTAAAAATTCACCAAATGGAACATAGCCTAAAATCGAGCCTAAAATTCTGTAATGAACTGTGCCGAATTGATTTCCTGCGTCATCCATTCCTTCTCCAGTAGCTCCTGGATGGTGATCCGAGTTTTGGAATTCTTGTCCAACAGCGAACGCAACACGTACTCCAATTCTTCACTGATTTCAAGCGGAATGATCAGTTCAGAATGCAGGATTTCCACAACGTTGACGAATGTGTTCTCGAAGAACATCAACACGTACAGTGTCACACCGAGAGCCCACATTTCCACTTCCGGGCCGGAGTAGCAGTTGCCTGCCAACAGTTCCAAACTGCAGTACTCGGTCGCCATATTAGAATTGTTATGGTTTATTTCTATCATTCGTTTATAGTATTTTTTATTAGGGTGTGCCGTAGAAGGTAGAAAAAAATTGCCTTTCCAGTACACACTTAACCGATCCGAAGTCAATCAGCTTGATATGTAAATTGTGATCGATGATAACGTTCTCGTCTTTGAGGTCCCCGTGCAAAATGTTCAACGAGTGGAGGAAAGCAACCGCATTAGCAATCTGTCGAAAGATCCAACAACCCAGCTTCTCCGTCATCACGATCTTCGATCGATAAACTCGAACAGATCCATCCCGGCGTCGTGGATTTCCATCACAACCTGGATGAACTTGTCGTTCTCGAACCAATCGAACACATTTGGATGCTTCTCGTGCGACAACAGGTACACTTCCATCGGAATTTCCCGCTTCTCCTCGGTCTTAATCATAAACTGCGGCAAGAGCAAGAGCTGAGTGCTGTGCAAATTGCAAGCGAATTGTCCACCGTACTAGTAATTGTAATTTATTTAGTCTACGATACCGTGCTGGCAGAACCTTTTATCAGGTTCATACATTAGAGAAACATTCATTTGGAAACTAGACAGTGCTTTTACACCCAATTACGAGGGGCGATCAACTTCATAAATCAGCTGAATTGTACACACTTCGGAAAATACACAAAAAATATGTAATATGTAATACTAAATACTGAAACTAAAATACCCTAATAAAAATACTCAAACATACCTCGACAACACTTTGTACACGAAAAATACAATTCATAAATAATTTAATGCACTTTAATACAAAAATACACAAAACTTAAAAATACATAAATGCGAAAAAATACAAAATACGCACCTTTTCAAGTCGGGGAGATGAATCGAAAATACTCAAGTTGACAGCCCCTCGGGGCAATCAAATTCATAAATCAGCTGAATTGTAAATACACACTTCAGAAAATACACAAAAAATACGTAAATGCGTTCACGCTGAAACTAAAATACCCTAATAAAAATACTCAAAAATACCTCGAAAATACTTTGTTTACGAAAAATACATTTCATAATGAATTTAATACATTTTAATACAAAAATACACAAAACTTAAAAATATATAAATACGAAAAAAATACATAATACACCTCTTCAAGTCGGGTAGATGAATCGAAAACACTCAAGTTGACAGCCCATCGGTACAACCTAATATTACACAACCAGCGTAATAACCTCTGTGCAGCTGTTTTGATTTAATATTCAACAACTTTTTTTTCTCTTTGTACTGAATTTACCATGAATTATTAACGTAGACTTTCTTCTCGAAATTTAAAATAAGATATAATTTTTGATTGCTGACATTAAATCTAGTAGTTGACGCTCCCATATACAAAGTCCCACCAAGGAGCGCTAAGATGGTGATCTTTGGATTTCGGTTCCATTTTTAAAGCAGATAACGAATATAATATATATTATATATTAATCTCAATACCCCTAAACAACCCTATTAAAAAATGCAGTAATCTTTGATTACCGGTTATCTAAATGTTTGGTAGAAACCGTAGAAACACTTTTTTTTTCTTTTTGAGTGTAATCCATCCTCGAATCCATCTTTTGTACCAGAGCGGTATAGATGATGGTGGGTATAAAAGGTCCTAACCCCCCAGTCCGGACTTATCGCTACCCGCGTACATGTGTGCGTGTCATATTTGCTACCAGAAAGCTGACATTTTCCAAGCTTCATTTTTGTGCAGCAGAAAACGTTTTTCGCTTCATTCCTCCGGGTGGAGCCTGGAAGAAGTCTATAAAAGTGAGTTAAATCGGTTGAATCTGGCCGAAGAGTGTCTAGTTTTGTAGCCGCAGGTGTTTAATGTGCTATTTGTATCGATTTACAGCAGTACCGATCCGATTGTAACAGTAATAGGAAGGTGAAGTGTGGGCTTCAGGTTTTAACCCTCTGCTCCGAAATGGCTGGCGGATCCGGCTCGAAGGTGGTGCAAATCACCAACATTGCCCCGCAGGCAACCAAGGACCAGATGCAGAACCTATTCGGTCACATTGGTAAGATTGACGAGATCCGCCTGTATCCGACGATTAGGGACGTTTCGTGTCCGGTGGTGTCCCGCATCTGCTACGTCAAGTACTTCGAGGGTACCTGTGTCGCCGTGGCCCAGCACCTGACCAACACGGTCTTTATCGATCGGGCGCTGATTGTGATCCCCGTTCAGGGTGGAATGATACCGGATGAGTACAAGGCGCTGGAGATGGCCGCCAATGGGACGCTGGTGCCAGGGTTGCACAGCATCGAAGGGCCGACCAAGCTGCCACCGGAGGTCGTTAACCGCATCGATGGGATGGTTCCCAATCAGGTAATAGTGGAAACGTTTGGAAACGACTTAGTTGTAAACGATTGGAATCGTGTGATTAATCGTAAATCTTCTTTTTTCCAGGTGATGAAAACGATCGATCCGAAGTTGGAGGAGCATAACCTTCCGGAGTATCCGCCTCTACCGGTCAATTTCGATGCCAAGAAGATTGAGGAAACTCGCCGCACCATCCTTATATTGGATGTCAAGTCTGATTGGCGGCTGGAGGAGCTGATGGATCATTTCAAGATGGCCGGAGAGATCAAGTATGCTCGTTTCGCTGAAAACGAGCGATCTCGCTACGCTCTGATGGAATTTTGCGAGCAAAAGAGCATTATAGGGGCTCTGAAGGTGCATGGATCGGAATTCCGTGGGTATCGGTTGAACGTCCACCATTCTACGCAGCCGATAGTCAAACCGGAAGCGAAGAGCAACGAGGCAGCCCAGAAGGAGATTGAGGAAGCCATGTCGATTGTGAAGGAAGCTCACAATATGATTTCGGCTGCCATCGATCCGGTCATTGGAATGCTGACCAAGGATAAGAGTTCAAATCGTCGCCGATCGCGTTCGCGTTCCCGCTCTAAAGATCGTCGCACGAGATCCCGGTCCCGGAAGCGTTCCAAGTCACGCTCAAAACGTTCGCGATCGCGTAAACGTTCCCGTAGTCGTTCGAAACGTTCTCGGTCCCGTTCGAAGCGCTCCCACTCGAAGCGGTCTCCATCGCGAAGCAAGCGCTCGCGATCCCGTTCCAAGCGCTCCCGGTCTCGTGATCGCCGCAAACGTTCACGCTCGCACCGCCGTAGCCGTTCTCGCTCGCGTGATCGTCGTCGTTCGCGATCGCGTGATCGTAAACGTTCCCGCTCGAGGGAACGTCGTGATCGTAGCCGCGATCGGAAGAAGTCGCACCGCAGCAAGGACGAGCGGAGACATCGTACCCGATCCCGTTCCCGCAGTCGTAAGCGTTCTACCTCGCGTAGTCATACCAGCAAACCGAAGGAGCCGATCCGTGTGTCCAAGAAGCGCAGTCGTTCTCCGGATAAGCGATTGAAGAAGATTCTCGAGGAGAGCGTTACTACGCGGGACTACGATGCCGAGGAACGTATCGGTGGCGAAGAGGATACCACTACTGCTACTACGACGACTACTACTACTGCGAAGAGTTCACCACCGCCGCCGCCACCACCAGCGCGGGAGAAGACGGCCAGCCCGACAACGGAGAAATCGGACAATATGGACATTTCCAATTCGCCGTAGGTGATCAGTGTGACCAGTTGCAGGTTTGCAGGTATTTGCTTGATCTATTCTGACGACACCGATTATGCTTTTCTTTTTACTAAGATTGATAGTGATAAACAGTGAACGCTCTTGTATTTTGAGAATGTACAAGAGTGACTCTTTCTGATTGTAATACTTTTCCGATTGCTAATGTCTGTAAGCGTAAGGGAATGAATCTAGGTTGGATAAATCTACGAGAACGGTGTTTACGATTGAAGAAGGACGGAAAGAAAGCCTTGGTAGTTACAAATTTAATATAGGGAAACTGACTAGAGATCCGCTGCTCAAGGTTAAGGGTAAAACAACGTGTTCTGTCCTGTTTACTTTCTGACGATACACGACGCACACATAATATGGGAAGAGCATCCTCCTTCCGGATGAGATGTCAGGGTGTCTCTCTACTTGAAAAAAAAAATCGGAATTCTCAGGCAATTTTCCAATTCTCGTTCAAGGTAATTTATAAGAAAATAATGTGGCTATCAAAGTACGCCAAACAACCATTTCGCACAATTCGCAAGACTCATAAACTTTGATGAATGAATTTAATGATAATTTCTAGGGATAATGTCATGGGTGGGCGTTGGCCAAATTTGGATTTTTAGATATAATCCTAAATAGGACCTAGATTATTTAATACTCTAGTAACCTCAAGTCCGTGCTCTGTCACAATGTTTCATTGTGATTAATCAACACTCAGAGGGGTAAAATATAAAATTTGGGGTAAATTTGAAAGAAAGGGTACTTGGAGTGTAGAGCGCACTGCCAACTGGACGATTCTGAAGCCTGGCCAAGTGAGTGGGGTATGGGTTTATTTGATTGAACGTCATTTCCAATGTATATATTGATACATTGGAAATGACAGTTTCCATTTATTAAATAGTTCAGATAGGCTAGAAATGACAGGTTTATAGTGAGAGAATGTACCATATTGGGAAAGCATAATTTTCATAGGGTTCAAAGCGGCTGACCTATTCGTTTCTAGTTTGACCTTCCTTCAAAACCAATTTGGCACTAGAACAATTTTAATCTTGTTCTGCATTATTCACATGTTGCAATTATTGAAAAGAGCTCGATATAAGATAGCCACAGAAAACGACTAACGGCGACTTCCCCACTTAAAAACCCTCTTTGACAACATGATGGCGCTGGCGTGGCAAAACTTACACTAGACACTAAGTGCTGGTAGCGCCAAGTGGCAATTTTCAGCAGGTAATTTATCGGTACTAGCGCCAAATTGGTCGAAAGTTTTTTTTTTTTTTTTTATATCTTTATTAAGGAGACTTTCAGCCGTTGGCTGGCTCGTCTCCGAATACCCCAGAGGGGGGTATTCCTAGGGGAAAAGGGGGTTTACAGAGTTTTTAGAATGTACAGAGTTTTGGTTTTTGAAACTTATGTTTCCTGTCTCAGCTAGCTGTCAAATTTTCATTTCAAAGGCTGTCTAAAGGATCCCGGTAGAGCCCCACCGGCAGAGGCTGCCGGGTGAACCTGGCAGCTGCTACCGGCAGGGGTTGCCGGGCCTGCTATCAAAATAGTATTTTTCGTGTTATAGTAACTAAATTCAGGACCCCGGTAGAGCCCCACCGGCAGAAACTGCCAGGTGACCCTGGCAGCCGCTGCCGGCAGGGTTGCCGGGCCTGCTATCAATATCGTATTTTAAATATTTTTGTAGATTCCTGCTTCCTTCGTAAAGCAGATGAGTTGGATTTCCGCTACCGGGTCGTTTTGGAGGACGTCACGAATGTTGTCGGCCAGACCGTACAACTCCCGTGATCCGTGGAAACACGGGCAGTTGATAAGGATGTGCTCAACCGTCATCGTTGTTCGGCACGCGTCGCATCTCCTCCGGAAGCCTCCACCGCTGCTGCTTCCCATGTTGTGAGTAATCCGGGTGTGACCGGTTCGAAGTCTGGAGAGTATTCTCTGTTCCGCGTAACTTTTGGTGTCCGTCCATGGGGCCGTTTCCCCTTTGACCTTTCTAATGAAAAGCTCTTAGTTGCTGTTCCATTCGTTGCCCCATGCTGACCTGATGGTAGATTTTATCCAGACTTTCAGGTCTTGTCTGGGGACCGACTTGTGGGCCGCTTCGTCCGGTGGCCGCGAGGTGGTCGGCTTCAATGTTACCGGCGATTCCGCAGTGGCCCGGTATCCACATGAAGGTGGTGCCGGGTTGTGTGTGCTTCTGGATAGCCTGAATCCACGGGTGGCGTGCAGTGGAAGATTCCAATGCAGCCAGAGCGCTGGCGGAGTCCGTGAGTATGCATAGAGCGGAGGAGGATGGTAGGGAGGCTGCGTAATGTAGGGCTGCTGCTTCTGCTGAGAAGACCGAGCATTAGTCCGGGAGTTTCCAGAAATGGGATGTTCGGCCATCAGTTACTCCAAAACCTACTCGGCCCCTAGCCTTCGATCCGTCGGTGTATCGGAGTTGGTGGTTATGGTACATCGTTCTCAGTCGCTCGGTGAGGCAGGTTCTCATTTCCGCCGAGTTGTCCCCTGCTCTGAATCGGTTGGCCATGGTTCTATCTGATCGGATGGGGGAGGCATCCCACTCCCTGGCTCCGACCCAGTGGAGTTTAGACACCGGGGGGAGCTCCTGGTGGGCGGTCTCTTGGAGAATTCGTTTCCCCTCCGAGAGGAGATAGAAATCTCCGTCTCCGCTGAGTTGCTCGTCGAGTCCCACGGCTCTCGTACAAACCGACTCCGCAATGAAAAACCGGAACGGTAGTGTTCCGGTCTCAATGCATGCGGCGTCGGCTGGTGTTGATGGCAGTAGACCGGCTGCAATCCGAGTAGCCTGGTTGTATATCGGTGCAAGACGGGAGATGATGGAGTCGCTGGACGCGCATAGAAGTTCGATTCCATATGTCAGTCGGCTGTGGACGATGGATCTGGCGGTATTCATCACAATACCTCGGTTGTTCACCTTGTGTGGACCGGATAGGGAGCGAAGGATGTTTAGTCTTGTTCGACAGTTGGCCTTGACCTCGTTGAGGTGGGGGCCGAACCGGAAGTTTCGGTCAATCGTGACTCCTAGTATGGAGATGGATTTCCTCCTGGGGATTGCCTGCTTGTCGATCCTAATCGGGGTCGGTAGTGGCCGGTGACCATGCCGGCAGACATGGGAAACCGAGCTTTTCTCGGCTGATATCGCAAACCCTGTCTTGGCGGCCCATCTACCAACCGCAGAGACCGCCGCCTGCAATTTTACCTTCATTGCTTTTAGAGTGTTCCCGACTACTAGGAGCAAGATGTCGTCCGCATACACCAGGATGTATATTTCCTTTGGCAGTCCCACAAAGATTCCGTTCATTGCCACCAAGAAGATGGTGACAGCAATTACGGAACCCTGTGGAACTCCAGTCTCCTCTCGCCTGGTGTTGGATTGATGATTACCGATGGTCACCTGGAATGTCCTGTCCTGTAGGTAATTCCTCAGGAAGTAGAGAATATTTCCTCCAAGACCCCATTTGGACAGTTGGTGTAGGACTTGTGGTGTCCATGCCCTGTTGTAAGCCTTAGCCAGATCCAGGGAGGCCAACTCTACGTGTTGGTCCTTACGGAGTGCCTCCTGGACGATCTGGCCGAGGCTATCAAAATAGGTGCCGGTTCCGTGGCCAGGTCGAAAAGCGTGTTGCCGGTGGTCCAACAGGCTGTTCCCTTCGAGGAAGCCCGTCAGTCTTCGGTTAACCAAGCGCTCCATAATTTTGCTGCAACAGCTGGTCAGGGAGATCGGTTGGAAGTCCTTAGGCAGTAATGCCGGTCCGGGGTTTTTCGGAATGGGTACGATTAGACTGTGTTTCCAGGTGTTCGGCATCTGGCGGTCAGTCCAGGCCTGGTTGAACAGTTCGAGGAGGGTCGCCTTTTGCGTGGATGGGAGGTTCCTTATCATCGGGTATCCGACCTCATCCGGCCCGGCGGATTTGCCCTTGGCCTTTCTGAGGGCGAAGCCCAGCTCTTCCATTGTGAAAGGCCTGTTGATGGTGAGGTCGTTTCCGTCGTCGGGGATTTGGAAATTGTTGATGCTGGAGGTGGAGACGGAGTTGCGGTTTCGGAAACCCTCGTCGTAGTTTCCCAGGCTGGACAGCGACTCGAAATAATCGCCAAGGAGGTTGGCGATTTCCTCCGGATCTCGGGTTATTCCGTTTGGTCCTCGGAGGGTGAAGCCCCGGGCTCGCCTGCTTCCCCGGATAGCGTTGATCCTTTGCCAGATCTCGGACGCAGATTGGTTGGCATTTATCTCATCTAGGAAGCTTTCCCAGCTGGCCTTTTTGGCATCCCGGATGGTTTGCCGACACTGGTTCCTGGCGGAGCGGTACACTTCGATGGCCTTTTCTTTATCAGGGTGGCCCTGCGGTAGACGTTTGGCTGCGCGGAGGGCCTTGCGCCTGGCTTTGACGGCCGCCTTCGTTGTGGGTGACCACCAATGAAGGGGTTTGGGTCCCGGGTTCGCCTTTGATTTGGGGATGGCCTGGTTCGCTGCCTTTACCATATTTTCCGTAAGCTCGTCCAGACTCAGAGGTGGGTTCTCCTGACATATGCTGCTGATGCTTATTTCGTAACCTTCCCAATTGGCACGGTCGTAGAGCCACCTTGGACGACGGGAGGTCTCCGGGGGGTTGTCGTTGACCGTGATGAAAATTGGGAAGTGGTCGCTGCCTCCAGGGTCGTCGGACACCTTCCACGCTAGCCGGTGGGCGATATTCCCGCTTACCGCCGAGATGTCAATGGCCGACTCTATCGGTGGACGGGTAAACGTTTTCGACCCGTCGTTGATAATGATCAGGTCGTGTTGTTCCGCAAGGTTTGCTATGATGGAACCCCGGGTGTTGTTTCTAGGACTGCCCCACGTTGTATGGTGACCATTAACATCGCCTAGCATGAGGACCGGTTCCGGAAGTGCGCTGATTATGTCGCTGAGTTGCTTCGCAATCCCGTTGATCTTGCCGTTTGGGAGGTAGACGCAGAGGACCGTGATAGGAAACGGGACCTCTAGTCTGACCCCCACAATTGGCAGATCGGTGTCGATCTCGACTATGGAGAACAGTGTGTCCTTGACGACTCCAATGCCCACAGATTGGAACACATTCTGGTTCGTCTTTGTGGTCCAGGTGTATCTTCCGGAGAGGGATCTGTTCAGGCTGGTTGGGTCAGCACGGTGGATTTCCTGGATACCCAGGATCAGTGGCTCGTGCTCTCT